AAGGACGAACTATGCCGACCATTATATTTCATACTTTAAGTTATGTAGAAATAATATAAAAAAGTATTACAATAAATTTTAAACAACACAAAAGTTAGCTTTAAGACAACTTTTTGAATATTTCAAATATAAATCATATGTTATTATAATTATATTAATTTTGGCAAAATGTTGCTTCATATTTAAATTTAATATTATTTCATTATATTAAAATGCAGCTACTTGTAAAAATTTAACATATATTATTATGTAGGATTTCCGATCGGAGCATTTTTATATGTGATAAAAATGAATAAATGATCAGCAAATTGATCGGCAAAATGTGATAAAATTAAGCATGTCCGCTATTATGTATTGAGAATGTACTTAATTAACCTAAAAATATAAGCCTGTGCAAATTTAATCAATCATATATAAAAATTCACCTAAGAGATTTTGAGGTAAAGCCTTGCAATGATATCCATTTGTCCTCGATTCAAAGCAAAGTTGCATTAACGCATATGAAAACCAAACTTCATCGGTTTAATCTTTCCGTTCAAACTTTCTGCAACACGCGAGATCTTTTAAATATAAAATATTATTAATTTGCAACCAATTCAAAATAATGACAAAATATTGCTGAACTTACGGTCAATATCTTACTGCAAAATCAGTTGGAATCATTATGTTTGTTAATGGACCGTACAACATGGGATAAATTGCTAAAAGATTATTTAATAAATTTCGGATTCTGTTGCCGTCCACATAAATATCCAACAAAGCATACTAACTTGGTGAATTCATTTTTGATGTTCAAGTTAGCAATAACTTGATCCTTTAATGAATGAATTATTAATATCAATGTAAATCAAATAACATTAAAAAAAAAAATTTAATACCTTCGAACTCCTGCAATTTAAAAATTTCATCGAATTCGCCCACATTTTTAATTCCATCAAATTTTATGTTGTAGCATAAAATCATAAACCATAAAATGTTACAAAATCGACAATGCTCAAATACTTTGTTAGAACCATGCGTTATTTCCATTAAATCATTTTTTTTTTTTAAAAAAAAAAAAAAATAAATAACCATTCAAACTTGGATTAATATTATTTTGTATATTAAAGAAATTTTCAGCGGAAATAATCATTAATAAAAAAGATGAATTTTCTAATAAAAAAAAAATAAATAAAATTAACAAATCTCTCGGTTATTAATTATAAATCCGATTTCAGTAAGCCATACCAAACTTTCCGACGTCTTAAGTCTTGTAATTTTTTTTTATTGAGTCTGTGATCTCCGACCAACATTCCTGCTTGTTAAGGTATATTGATTTCATATGTAGTATATATCAACCTTTAATTATTATTATATAAAAAAAAACTTTTCAATACACTTTGTCGGTATTATTTGCTTTTTCTCACCAGATGTAAACGACTTACAAAATCTTTTTTTTTTATTGCCAATTTTTTAATTACGGTAATATGAAACTAAAATATTTAAATTGCACTCGAGATCATCGTCAACTTATTAATATCTTCACTTTGCTCTAAATTTCCAGATTAATTGTATGATTTCATCAAAGAACTGTTCAAGTGGATAATGTACAAATTCGAAACCTATGAATTAATAACAAAGCTCAAAAGCAAATTCTAACCGATTGAATATAATAAAAATACCTCAAACTTTCTTTACTTTGTTGATATTTTTGAAAGACTGGAAACGAAATTTTGACTCTTACTCATCTTTAAACTCAGAAAAGTTACCATATAATATCTTGATTATATTAGTCATCTTCTCAATAACACTTTCATCAAATTATTATTAAGATGATAAAAGCATTGAATTTTCATTTCCTCTAAACATGAAGTATACGAAGTTAAACATTTCGTATTTGAAACAAAATAGTTTGTAAAAATATATGTGTATATGTTTTAATAGTTTACCTGATGGAAAATTATATATGGAATTTTGATAGTAAATTTCTCTTGACCTTTTATTGAACGAATTAGAAACTAAAATTATTTCGAATTCTTGGGAAATTTTAATAAGCATCACCAAGAAAACGACCTCGAGTTCCATTTACATCACTTTGAAAAATATAATAAATGTTATGAAAAAATATTTGATTAACGATAATCATAAAACCAATAATTAATACCGCACCTAAATGAAATATATTCTTCAATATCGTTGTCATTCGAAAATCTACATTTAAATAAACTTTCGATGGATTTCATTTGTCAGCCGAAATAACAATTAATATGGAAGTTGGATTAGGAAAATTCGCATCCTAATAAAAAAAATCAAAAAATGTTATTATACCTCATTCTTTTGACAAAGATTTTCCAATAAATAACTGAATTTTCTTCTTTATCAAACCCATACCTTATATTTTGGCCTAATCATCTATCGGTAGAAAAAATTAAATAAAGGACTAAAAAAATCAAGTTAAACTCCATTTTGCTGTGATTACAAAAATTGTCTCTGACCAAATGCTAAGTTACGAAATTAATAAATCGTCACTAACTTATATCTATAAGAAGAACTTCTCTGTAAAATATCCTTATTGTTAACTACTAATCACAGTCACCGTTATTATAACGGATGGTGTCAAATATAATATGCAATGAAGAATAATATCTCGCGTTCTTTGAATGACCAGTGGCTTAGAAATTCGTTTAACGATACACGTTACACGACATTTTTTTTTTAATGAAACATGAAACGTGGCCGTGTTGGACGATTTCTTAAAGAATTATTGAAAATTCTTCCAAGGTAATTATGAATTTGAAAGCAATTATAGTCTTTAAACATTTTTAATAATAAATTTTTTTTATTTTTATAATTTTTAAATAGATTTTTTTGCAAGTTTTTTCAACTTTACCAAACTCGCACCTCTTTTCATACAGACAAAAACTTATAATAGAACACATAAATATCCCAAAAAGAAATGGTATTTATGTGTTGGACCTTTAAATGTTCAAATTTTAAGTATTTTTATTGCCACATTGAAATACTACTAACAAATGTAGTCAGCAAGAAAGTAACAGTAAGTTAAAATAAATTTTTTTCAAAACTTTTTTGTATTTTATATATACATATATATATATATACTAATCTTTAAAACAATTTTTATTTTTATAGCATCCATCATCTGGAGTTTACACTTCACTAAAGTGTTATATCAAATCTAACGAATGTTTAGTAAGTTTTTCTTCGTAATGTTTTTCGTATACGAGGACTTGTAATTTATTATTTATTAATTAAAGATGTCTTGTTTAAAGTATTTTGTTTAGAAAATTTAACCTCATTCTTTATAAAATAAGAACGTTAGGAGGAGAAAATATTGAAAAATTTGGCGATATGAGTGGCGGTGATAATAAAGTTGTAAAAGCGCCATGAGCTCACATCCGAGACGAGTGGCGGCGCCATGAGCTCGCGAATAGTAACATCCGAGACGAGTGGCGGCGCCATGAGCTCGCGAATGTAACATCCGAGACGAGTGGCGGCGCCATGAGCTCGAGAATAATAACATCCGAGACGAGTGGCGGCGCCATGAGCTCGAGATTTACATCTGGAGACAGAAATGAATTGGAAAAAGTTTATTTTAAAAAAAAACCTTAGTAAATATCAGTAGTTTATTCGTAATCTATAATGTTATCCCTTCAATCGTTTGCCTACAAATTTTATTAATAGTTAAAATCATCTTAAATATTTTTATAAAAAAGCTTTATAATAAATTTTATGATATTTTCCAAGTAAAAATTAAAAAAAAAATTGTAATTAACTATAATTAACTAGTGATTTTTTAAAGATAAATATACAGTATAATAAATTATTATAAAAAAAATTAAATTTTATAAACTCATTTATATATTGCTATCTATTGATCTCAAAAATATAAAAACATTTAATAGGTTTTATGCTGTAAAAAAATTCAAGTCGCATAGAACAATACCTAATTCGATTTTGACAAATATTGATTAATTTACGTGATTTTATCATGGTCACGTGATATAGTATATAATAAAATTTGGCTGCTCAAATAAAAGTGGATGTCTTACATTATATAATATTATAAAATAGCAATGAATAAATAACGGTGATAGGTGTATTTCTTATTAAGTATAAAGTAGATTTAATTATTTTTTTTAATAAGAGATTATAATCTGATTACAAAATTTAAAATTAATTATATATAAAATAAAAATAAAAAAGTAATACTGAATTGAAAATAATTTTAACTTATCTTTAAGGAATTTATTTTTATTGTTATAGTAGTAGCAGAGATTTCAGCTTTAATTTGTTAATAGATAAAAAAACTATTTAAGAGAAAGAAATCTAATTATTAAGATAATAAATAGATGTTTTTTGATTTATTGATATAATTTATTTTTTATTATTAGCAAGTCTAAAATAAATGTCAAAAAACTATAATTATTTTAATTCATTAAGATATCATTAAATTGATAAAAATAGTATTTAAAAAATATATTAAATAAATACAAAAATTACAAAGTTAAATTTTATAATAAAACTAAGTTAACAAAAATAAATTTATTTAATTTTTATAACTAAAATCCATTTCTTTAAAAATTTTGCTAAGATAATAAAAATGAAAAAAAAAAATTTAATATAAAAAATTGAAAATTACTATGAAAAACCACTGGTGTTCACCACCAGTGTCACGTGTTTATTATTTTTATTAATAAATTATTAGCCCTATATTTATTTGTTTAATCTATATTTATGCGGTTAGCAGTTTCCTAATTAGTATTTAAACATTGTGTAAATCGCATCATAGATTACCCATTTATGTGAATATCTGATGAGTATTACGTCATAAAGATAAAAAGTTGCTGCGCTTCGCTTCGTTTAAACAATAGTAGCTTTGTGTTATATTGTATCGCTTATTGTATCGCTGCAGCTTGTATTCTGTCATATACCCACGATGCCACCACATTTTTTTTTTACCTCTGTCCGATAGTTCAAGCCCGACCATTTCTATCAGGCTATCAAGTTGCATAAGGACACTCCAACTGTTCTGTTTGGTAACTGCTATATTTTGTGACTGTTCTATTAGGTCGCCTATCAGTTAAGATATACTCCTTGTCAAAAAGTAGTAAATAGCCTTTTCTACCCATATTCCCATATTGTTTTCTCAATGGATAATGAAATAGTCGTGCCTCTACACTTCGATAACGCGACGGAAGAAAGTGATATGGATGATGAGATAGTCAACATAAACGAAGTTACATTAAAGATCAGCGATTTATTCAATGATTGAAAATCAGTCCAAGTGATCATTGATTCGTATGCAAAGCAAAATGGGTTTGTGGTTAATAAAGGTCGTAAGGATGTTGAT